TTACATAAAATGTTAACATTATCAGAGGCAGAGCAAAGCAGGCACACACTCACAAATCTATAAATATTTCATATTACAAGTTTTTAAAAAAAACACACAATTCAGCTATTCTTCAACAGAATATTTCCATCATTCTTTGTTTAAAAAAATCCACATGACTGGACTAACCATAAATTTCATGAGACAAGTCTGCCTAAAGTCAGTGCATAGATTAAAATTTTAGTAACTCTTGTTCACAAAGTATAAATAAAGCAAGGGAACTTAACACTCAGATTTTGCTCTCAAGAATCATGTTATCCTTCACCCTGACTGTCCTACCAAAGTGGTGGCATCTGTAAATGGGTAACCTTAAGATTTCTGGGGTACCCTGGATCCAGGATCCCAGCATAAGTCACCCAACTTCAATTTGTCCTTAAATAGAATTTTAAAAATAATAATAGTTAAAATATATTGAGCACTGAACAACTCAGCTACCTATTACACAGTAGAAGGTATGAAGAGGACTCATAAGAAATGAGAAAATATGGTCTTGGTTCATACTGCACACTTGAAGGAGAAATAATACATACTTGGGCTTTTTAAGCCCTTGGAAATTTATTTGGGGGATGATAAGAAAGAAATGATAGGGGTGCCTGGGTGGCTTAGTGGGTTGAGTGTCTGCCTTTGGCTCAGGTTGTGATCCCAGGGTCCTGAGGTCGAACCCTATGATAGCCCTCCTGCTCAGTGGGAGTCTGTTTCTCCCTCTCGCTCCACCCCTCCCCCCTCACTCTACTCTCTCTCTCTCTCTCTCAAAATAAATAAATAAATAAATAAATAAATAAATAAATAAATAAATAAATAAATAAATAATAAAATCTTTGTTAAAAATGATGGTGGAATATTCCAAATTTAGATATTCAGTCTGATGTATTTATCGAATACTCGCTTTGGGCACCTGTTGTGTGACAGATGGACTAAAGCTCAGGGCTTACCAAGGAGCCTGTGGCTTTGGAACTTGTGTCAACAGTACCACCAATGTGACTCCAATGCTACCACTACTGCTACTACTGTTAACTGCTGCTAATTCAACATGACATCTTCAGGTGCTAAGCACTCTACAAACATCATCTCATGTCATCTTCATGAGAACTCTGTGAGATGGCATTATATTCATATTTTAAAGATGAAGAAACCAAGAATGGAGATGTTGAGACATATTTTCCAAGGTCAGCCAGTTAGAAAATGTCAGAAGGCAGATTGGCATCCATGTCATGTGATATCAAAATTCATGCTTTAACCACTCATCCATGGATCTTCCCTAAGCCTCCTGTTTCAATTCCTCTTTTGCAGGTCTTACCTAGGGGTCTCAGTGGCTTGCCACCAGCCCTCAGGGCTGGGGTATTTCCTTGACTTCTGATTGGTCTGTTCTGTCTGCTTCTCCCCTTCCCCGCGGATCCCACACAGAAGATGAAATGGAGCCCAAAGAGCAAGTAGTGATCAGGCAAAGCTTTGGGCAGTGATGGAAGCAGAAGATGAGAGAGGTAAGTGTACGTGTGTGTCTGTGTGTGTGTGTAAAAGAATTGTTTTTCACTGATTTAGTTATAGCAGTAAAACTAGTTGGTAAAGTAGTTGAGTCTCTTCCTCAGGCCTTTTTCTCCTTTGTGATCTGAGGCCTGAGACTATGAGCAAAAATTCTCTGGATAGACTCCTCTACTCCTCCACACTCCCTGGGGGGCTTCATCCAGGCTGGTTTCTGCAGAAACAAGACTACGACCTTGTTCCAGTTATCTTTTGCCACAGAACAATCACCTCTGAACTTAGATGATATAAATTGTTATCTCTTAGGGTTCTGTGGGTCATTGGAACTGAGCTGAGCAGTTCCCAGACAGGGTCCTCCATCCAGCTGCACTTAGCTAGTAGCCGAATCTGGACTCATCTGAAGTCTTCATTACTGGAGCCTAATGATTGGAAATCTGGGTCTGGTTGGGCTTCTCTCCATGTAGCCTGTCCACCTAGCTAGTTTTCTCGCATCATGGCAGTCTCAGAGGAATTGGCAGCCACACACCGAGGCTGGTTCCTACCAGCCTATAAGAGCCAATTCTGTGTATTTCTTTCCAACTGTGCATTTGGTGCTATCACTTTGATAGCCTGAAATCAGTCATGGTGGGAGGGAGTACTCATACTATGAAAACTGGCAAATGCTACAAATCAGTGCTCCCCCCTCCACCCCTTCCCCAAGACCCAGATTACCCACAACATGACTTTACATAATGGTTGTCCTCCCCCAGAGTGAGTAAGCCAAGAATCCCCAGAAGGAAGCTGCAAAGCTCCTTAGAACCTAGCCATGGATATCCCCAATGTCACTTTCTTTTTATTTTATTGGTCAAACAATTCCCTAAGGCTACCTGGAATTCAACAGGAGAGTTATCATCCATGTCCTATGGAAAGATTGCAAAGAAATTGTACAGCATAGGATGTGGCACAGAATAGGTGCTCAATAAATGTTCATCATTTTGATGAACAAATGAATGCGTAAAGTCTCAGACACGCTGTGTGTCACTTAATCTGCATGTCTTTAAGTCACTCTAAAAGTATAAAGTCTTCTGGGAAGTTTTGCTTCAACATCAGAGAGGCTGATGATTCTAAAGTCCCCAGTGATCTGAAATCTAAAATTGCTTGATACGGATCTACTTACACGCTTTCTACAAGTATTCACAGACCTGTTTGCACAAGCCCTTCCTGCATATGTACTCAACTGGTAGTATACACATGACAACTGCAGAAAGCTTGTTTTATAGATGTTTTTATACTACTGAGGTTTGCTTTGCCTCCCTAAGTAAACTGCAAATTCTTTTAAGAGAGTTCTCATGTATTTCTTTGCCATTCCTTCTTCCCACTGTGCCAAAAACAGATAATTACACACACACACACACACACACACAGAGATACATCCAAGATACATGATAGTTAGAGATTATAAGCCTTAAAAGGAACGGAAAGAAGGAAAAGAACTAAAAATTCTTAATTGCTAGGTTTCAGAGCTTGCTGGGTTTCAGAGCCTTCTCATTTAACTGTTACATTCACCTAGTGATGTTGGCATTATTATTTCCATTCCATTTCACAGTGGAGGAAAATGAGTCTCAAGAAGGCTTACCAATTTGGTCTCAGCCACACCAGGAAAAGGAGCTGGGATTCAAATGTAAACCTGCATGGTACCAAGGCATGAGCTTGACATATTCCTCAGACCATATCTTCCCACTGCAGTATCCATCCCCCCACCTTCCCGCATTCTCTCTGCCTCCCTCCTCAAAGCATCTACAAAAGTCATAAAAATGCTGATGCTTCTAAACCCCAGATAGCGTAATAAGTGCTTCAAGTTCTTCTCTTGTACAAGATGTCCTTTGGAAGCTTGGAAACGTAAGAACTTTAAAGTGTCTTCTGGTAGCAGGGAGGTCAGCTTCAAGGCTATCATAATAACTCAGGGAAAGGGGGTTGGTGGGTTGGACCAAGGTAACAGTGGTGAGAGGGAGAGATGTGAAAATTTTGGAGGGATATTAAGAAGGCGGGATCACCAGATTAGTGATTGATTGGATTGTGCAGGTGCTGATTGACCATCGCAGAATCATGCTGGCTGTACTGGGAAGGTCAGAAGAGAGAAAAAGCCTGGATGAGAGGTTCCCATATTCCCGGAAGGGGGGTGATCATGGCTTACACTATGAAAAGAGCCATGGAAATGGAAGAATGGATGACTTTGAGAGATAATATGGAGGCAGAATGTCAGATGTGTTGCCAAACTGGACGTGGAAGTGCGAGGATGAAGGAGGGGTCAAAGATGAAGTCTAGAAATCTGTTATGGGAAACCAGGAGCTTTCTGCTGAGCTAGGGGAACAGAAAGGAGAGCAGATTTTAGGTAAGGATGAGTTCTGGGCATGCCAAGTTTGAGGTGAACATGTAAGCAAGAGCTGGCAGCCAGTATGCAATGGCATTGAAAACAAAACAAGCGTCTCTTATCTAAATGAGATTTTTTGCTCCCTTCAAAGGTTACAGATGAGCACACTGAACACCATGTGTGGCAGGGTTCTGTGTCAAGGAATAAAGAGGCTCTGTAATTCTCAACGTTTTCCCTTCCCAGTGGTTCAAGTCTGTCTCTCTCCAAAAGCCATTTATCACCCTGCAGCGCCTCCGTCATAACCAAGATGTCTTTATTGAGACTTCCAGAGCTAATAAGAGCTGTATGATTCAATCAGTGACAGGGCCTCATATAACTCATCAAAAGCGTTGCAGGGAGATTTTAGCAAGTCCCTAGGACTGCAGGTCTACCTGCATACACACACGCGCGCACACACACGCACACATGCACACGTACACACACACACACACACACACACACACACCAAAACTCATGCTTCTTTTCTTAGAATTTGTATGGACAGGCACTCAGACATGTTCATACACTTCCGCCCCACATAGCAGCACAGCCATTGTTTACACAAGGTCCCTGCATGTTACAACAGGGAGCCTAGGCCCCTTTGTCTCCTGCTGTACTCTAAGGAAGAAGGGAAGCATTCAAGCAAATGAAGGCTCCCCAGAGAGCTGCTGCTTTTCTGCACATCAGCTCTTACCATGAGACCCTAGAAGGGTTCTACCCCAAACACAAAGCTAATTGTAAGGATGGCAAAGCAGTTAGGACGGCCCCAGCCCAGAGGAGACCACTTGTAGCTGCTTCACCAATGTGCTTGTTGTACAACTACCAGAACAGGCAGCCGAAACCAAGCCCAGATTAGATTTCCATGCCCACTTCGAGAACCTGCCACTGCAACTCTGAGCTGCGTGGGGTTCTGCTCACCCAGCTCAGAGCCTGCCAGCCCACCAGGTGGAGACTAGCTGGCCAGGAACCAACCTTCCTCCCCACATAGTGTGTCCCTTGACCTGACTCCAACTCTACCCAGATATGCCTTCCAAAATCCCCCTCAAATCAAGCTTCTCTGGGTAGAAACCTCACAAAATCAGAGCTTCCTTACCTGAGAGAAGGTCTCGGTGATCGGCAGTAGAAAAAAACCACCAAGTTCTAACAGAAGTGAGAGGGACTTACAGGGCAAATCTGTTGGTTTTAAAAGAAGAAAGGTGACTTCATCCCTGGTGCTGTAGAGTTTAAAAGAGCAATGAGTGCTCCCTGGCTGAGCCAACTCTGTCTCATCAGTGATGACTCCATCCAAATTATGCAGCTACTGCCCAGACATGCTCAGCCTTCAGAAGGTAAATTGCTGGAATCTGACTAGCCCTGTTGTTTTCAAAGAGCTTCCGAAAGTCTTGAACACCAATCACTTTAACTGGCACCAGAGATAGGGAAACATGCACTTATTTCCCCAAGTTATATCACTACCTCCCAAGAATCCAGTTGTCTGAAAAATAGCATTCTAGGGAAGGAAAACAGATATTTAAACTTCTGAGAGGTAAACATTCTTGGAGAAGGAGAAAAAACAAAGGACAGAGAAGAAACAAAGATATTTCAGTCAGGGGGAGGGGCAGTGAGAAGCTGCAATGATCACCTTGCTAAGTGTTTTTCAGACCTGGTGGATTTGTAAGCATATAAAGGTGACAAATAGGTGACGGTCTGGACTGGGCAGAGGGCAGAGTATTCAGTTGAGCAAAGGGATGAGTCACTGTACAGAAAGAAAGCGGGACAGCCCTTCTAATGAAGGCAACAGATTTTTATTTATTTTTTATTGAATAGGGTGCCACTCAACTGATTTGGAGTCAATTGTAACATAAATAGTTAACTCAAAACATGTCCACATTCCACCAAGAATGTTGGGGAAAACAGATGTTTAAGTAAGAAATTTTCTCTTTTGTATGCTAAAGGTGGCTGGAGCAATCTGATTCGTAATATGGGATTCAAGGTTATGTCAAGCTACTGAGTAGGCCAGTACTACCTCTCCTTGATGCCATGTCCCCACGCTAAACTCTGGGGAGGACTTCTGGCTGTGGCACCACGGCAAGGAATGGACCTGTGTTGGAAGTGGGGCAGAGAGTCGAGTTTAGCAGCCTACTACCCTTCTCTCTCATACCTCTACTTCAAGAGAGTGTAGATAACTTTGGGTCACGAGGCATGTGTCCAATATCTTGCTGAGCTATTCTGAGGCAATGGGGATCTTCTTGTGTTAAGTTTCACTCCCAAGAGTGTAAAACAAGAAAAAACCTCTTTCTGTTTAGATAGAAGTATTCAGGTTCAACATTGGCCAGGGGTTTTTTGAACTGAGAGATTTCAGGAATGTCAACAAGGTTTGTAAAAGGATTTGCAAGTCTTCTGGTTGGGGTACAAATAATGTCAGAAGTAGAAGAGGAGCAGATTTTTTTTATCAATAGTAAGATCAAAAAGGGACAGGAGCCATTTTTATTCAGTTCATCAAAGTATCCTCAAAGCCAAGCACAGAGAATAGCACACAGTATGTACTCAGGAGAGACTATAAATGGTAACAGACAACCTCTCTCTGTTCCAGATTTCTAGAACAGATCTGTTGAGAACTCTTAAAGTCACCAACTGCAGAGACCATGAGCCCGTAGTCTTACGGAATGCCTCAGCCCCTAGGTTCATTGCCAAAGTTACAAGAGAGTGAAGAAAGCCAGTTTCTGGACTCAGAAGCCTCCTTTGTCTATAGTGTTCCCCTATACATCAGCTAGATTCTAGCATCTTTTTCTAGGGCCAGGACTATCTTTCAGGTGATCTGCCAATTAGCCTCAATTGTCTTTTGTTCTCAACATTCTATCATAACATTTCCAAACATAGTTTCTTCAGTTGACATTTTACTATATTTGCTTTATCAAAAATTGATTTTTTTCTATCCATCCAGCAACTCATTTAATTATTTTTATGGTGTTCCAAAGTAAGTTGTAGATATTGATATGTACCCCCAAATACTTCAATATTATTAACAAAAACTGAAAATTTGTTTATAATTCCAATTTTTGTTTACAATTTCTTTTCACATAAAATTCATATAGAGTATAATGCAAAAATCACCAGCATGTCATTTGATGAGTTCCTATAAATACATACACCTATGCAATTCAAATCCCTATCAAGGTACAGAACATAATCATCACCCTAGAAAGTTTCCCCATGTCCCTTTCCAGCAAACTCCTGGTTCAGCATTTCTAGTGAGAATGCATCTGATTTTTTTTTACCATAGATCAGTTTTGCTTATTCTAGTATTTCATATAAATAGAATAATAAAATGTGTATTCTTTTCCGGAAATTTTTGTTCATTCAGGAGGTTTTTAGGATTTACCCATCCATGTTGTCGCTTGCACCAGTAGTTGGTTTCTTTTCATTGATGAGTAGTATTTTCCTGAATGAATATGCCATAGTTTGTTTATCCAGTCTTCTATTGATGGACACCTGATCTTCCAGTTTAAGACTATGATGAATACAGCTAATATAAACATTTTTGGACACATCCTTTTGTGCCACGTTTTCATAATCCTTTGGGTAAATACCTAGGAGTGGAATTAGTGGGTCTTAGGGGAGGAGTGTATATAATTTATAAGAAACTATATAATTTATAAGAATTTACACCTTTTGGGATGCCTAGTGGCTCAGCGGTTTAGTGCCGCCTTCAGCCCAGAGTGTGATCCTGGAGACCCCGGATCATGTCCCACGTCGGGCTCCCTGCAATGAAGCCTGCTTCTCCCTCTGCCTGTGTCTCTGCCTCTCTCTCTTTCTGTGTCTCTCATGAATACATAAATAAAAATCTTAAAAAAATGAATTTACATATTTTCCAATATTCTCATACCATTTTCCTTGCCTACCAACGATGTATAAGAGTTTTAGTTGCTTCATCGAAAGTTCTGACAACATTTGGTGCTGTCAGTGTAACTTCAGCCACACTGGTGAGTATGGGGGCAATATCTCACTATGGCTCTAACCTGCATCTCCTTGATAACTAAGGCTGTTGTATGTGTTTTCATTCAACATTTATGGGCCATCCATATACCATCTTTTGTGAAGTCTCTGTTCAAATATTTTAGCCAGTTTTAAACAGAGTTGTTTGTCATATTATTATGGGGTTTTAGGAGTTCTTAATATATCCAGGGTACCAATTCTTTGTCAGGGACATTTCCCTAATATTTTCCCCTGCCTTGTGGTCTGCAGAGGCAGGACATTTTCTTAATGGTGTTTCTTCTGATGAACAGGGATTCCATTTTGACTAAGTTTATTTTTTCTTTTTTGGTTTTTGTCTTCCTCCAAGTCATAAAGACGTTCTCCTATATTTTCTTCTAGAAATTTTATAGTTTTAGCCATTTTGTGTAGGCCTGTGGTCCATAACAAATTGATTTTTGTGGGTAGTATGATTTAGGGCAAGGTTGATATTTTCCATGTGAATATGGAGTTATTTCAACACCGCTTGTCGAAATCCTTTTCTTTTCCAATTGAGTTGATTTGAAAACTTTGTCAAAAATAAAACAAATATATAAGCGTGGGTCTATTTCTGTCTGGGCTCTTTATTCTGTCCTACCAATCTGTTGATCCTTGTCTTAGCACCACACTGTTTAGGGTAAGTTTTGAAGTCCAGTGGTAAAGTAATTTTGACTTCTTTTTTTGAGACTTTGAATATTCTATGTTCTGTGCATTTCTACAGAAATTTTAGTATCAGTTTGTCAATTTTGACTAAAAAGCATCATAGGATTAGGATTAGGATTGTGCTGAATCCATAGATAAATTTCGTGAATACCATTTTAATAGCACTGAGTCTTGCAATCCATTAACTTGGCATATCTCCATTTGTTTACATCTCAATTTTCTCACAGCATTGTTTTGTTGATTTTCTCTTTATCATTGATTTTTACAGTTTGACTGTGGCTTGCCTAAGTGTTTTTATTTTGGTTTTGTTGTGTTGGGTTTTTTATATAAATCTTTCTTGGTGTTTATTGGGGTTTTAAAGTCTTTAAATATCTGTCTTTTATCATATGTATAATCTTTTCACCCATTATTTATTCAAATACTTTTCTGGGTCTCTCTCTCTCTCTCTCTCTCTTTCTCTCTCCCTACCTTCTAGGACTCCAATTACATGTGTATTAGACCTTTTGATATTGTTGCAAAGATCTATGAGCCTCTGCACTTGTATTAAATCTCTATTTCCTAGTTTGGATCTTTCTTATTGATCTATCTTCTATTTAATTCACTTTTTCCTCTTTCATTTCCCTGTGCTTTTAAGAACATCCATTAAGTTTTTAAAGATATTTATTTTTCAGCTCTTATGTTTTCATTTGATTCTTTTTATAATTTCTATTTATCTACTAAGATTTCTATAATTTCATTTATTATGATCTTATTTTCCTTTATATACTTCACCATATTTGTAGTAACTTCCTTAAAGTTCTTGCCTAATCTAAGAGTTGGTCTCTGTCAATTGTCTTTTTTCTTTAAAATAAGTCATGTTTTCCTGTTTTGTTGTATGTCGAATACTTTTGGAGTGTATCCTGGTCATTATGAATGATATGTTGCAGAAAATCTGGATTCTATTCTGTTCTTCTGAGGCATATTGGCGTTTCTTTATTCAGGCCTTTAAAGTGGTTGATCTCAAGTTGCAAGACCTTATCTCCCCATATAACATCTGGAAATTCAGGTCAGCTCTTTCAGTAGAGCTGGGATTTTAAAAATCTGCCTCTTGCATATGTTGTTCAAGGGTCAGCCAGAGATCTGAGTAAAGTTTATCCAGAGAGCTATAGGGCTTCCCCTCTGCTCAGCATATTCATAGATAGGGCCCTGTTCTTAAGCTAAAAGCTATAAATCAGGAAACTCATCCCATGTCTTTCTCTTGTTCCAGTGGTTCAATCTCTTCTGCTTTCTGTTCAGTTTTGTTCTTTCTCTAGTATTTAAGGACTAATTTTTCTTAAATCTTGCCCAGAGTTTATAGTTATTATCTATAAGAAGTATGGTCCAACAGGAGCTACTTGGCCATACCAGAAGGCTTTAATTACCTTTTGAGTCATCTAGTTTACCCTCAACATGATAATTCATAGCTCTTTCTTGGGATGCTAAATATGTTTCATTTCAAGCACCACCTCAGATTGATTGGTAATGTTGAAAAGGATATTGAGCTTCAGCAGAAAAGCATGATGTAATTGACAACAATGTCATCCTTCAGAATAGGAGGGGAAGTGTAAGCCCAAACTT